CCTAATGCACTTATCTCTCATATAAACTGTTTTTTTTTTCTTTCTGAGATAAATATTTTTAACTTTATTTATTAAATACCTAATGTTTCTTCTCTTCCTTCAGAAGTCAGTGATTGTGTTACTTAATGACCATTATAAAACCTTCTCAAAGGATTTCCTAATTTATCCTGAAAACGTGTGTGCATGCTGTGTGCACACATGCACACTCATTTTCTATATGTCAATATTTTTCTTAGTGAGCTATGTCCACAAATATGGCAGTATGATACAAGGGTTATTAAAGGTCATATCTTGCCACACTCCACCTACCGATAGATATTTTATATCCATGAACTTATTTTTATCTTCACAATACCTATTTAAGAGAAAAAGAAACTGAGACAGAATTTTGAGGCATAGCTAAGAATAGAATGGTTTGTTAAAACAGGACTTAGAACTAAAAGACCAGAGGGTGCATGCCTATTGATTTGGGAGCCAGCCCAATTACTGGAGTTTTGGAAATGAGACTGACCTGGTTTCAGATCCTCTTCTGCTGTCTATTAGCTTTGTGACTTGGAGAATGGCTTTGAGCCTTAGTTTTTTCATCTGTGAAATAGGGATAATAGAGATGAGACTTCATAGATTTGCTACAAGAACTAAAGGTCCCATGTGTAGATTTCTTAGCACATATTAGGTGCATACCATCTTGGCTATCATTGTTTGGTAAACTTTGTATCCACACTCAATTGCTGACAGATTCTTTATATTAATCCACCTCATCTTAGATGTGCAGATAAGACTACATTTCTGCTCTTGCAGAGGAAATGTATTTTTGCATTTGATAACTGTTAACCTGCCATTTCGTTCTGCAGAGCATAAACCCGTCCACTTCTCAGTTTAAAAATGATCACTGCTGATTCATGCTTTTGCCTCATCACTCGTTTAATCCCTTTTCCCCTTTAGGGGAATGAATTTTCTGCCAGATAGTCTTCTTTATAAAAGCTGTTATATTTGTGATTTTTTAATTTCTATGTTTCAGCAAGTTGGGCTTTCTCTTCTTTAAAAAAACATAAAACATCAGCAGCTCTACTTGGTCCTGAGGACAGTCGGAGCACCAAAAATAGTCAAGGAATAAGCTGACTTTTCCAGAGATGAATGCACGAGGCTTCCTTCAGTTTCTTGGGACTTCTGAGCATCAGTAAAGTTGTTTGGTCAGGAGGATGCTTGCCAGACAGGATGCCAAGAGACTGGGCATTTTGACGAGGCTCTGTTCTTAATTTTTCATTTGACCTTGGAGGGGAGGGAGGGCATTCTGATTGGGCCTCAGTTTGCTTACCTACAGAATAAGAGTTGAATTAAATGATCTCAAAGATACTTTCTGCTCTTGCATTTTATTTCTTCTACTGCTGAAGTGCTGTCAAAGCCCAGAGGAATTAATTTTAATGACTGAATTTCAGGTGCTGTGTGGCTGTGGGAGAGATAATTGGGAGGCATGGTCAGTGCCTTTCAAATCAACCTATGTGATGACCCCCAACTCTGCTTAATTGTCAAGATGGATCTTTGACTAGTCTTCAGATAGACTGACTCTTAAATTGGACAAGTCTATATCCAGAGGTATGTATTAAGTAGAAATGTTTTATAGACCATAATTACACATGGGTAGTACAGTAAAAGCTATCCTACCTGCCATCTCATAACCCAAACCCTCTATTACCCGGCAAGTCTGCATTTGCTCTGTCTACTTTCTATTTTTATGCAAAAGTGAAAAGAAAAAAAAATACAAGTCAACAAGCTGGTATCCTGGATTTGTTTTGGAAAAATAGATTCTATGATATGCTCTGAAGTCAGTATGGATTTAACTCAATCCACATACCTTTGGTAACCATTTCTATGATATAGTGGTGCTATAGTGATAAAGAAACTGCAAAATTCTGAAGTGCTGTTTATTCATCAAAAAAAGAGAAAAAAGGTAGGAGGCTCAACTATGCAATTAGTTGTTCATAGGGCATGTGCACTCGCTGGAAAGAGACAGAGACAGAGTGTGTTGGGGGAGAGTAAGAAATCACTCCCCAGAGGGGATGGCCATTCTACAATCCCTCCGCCTCCCAGACCCATCAAGCTGCCAGGCTCAGGACTCAAACCATAGTCAGCTAGGTGGAAGTCCAGTGCCTTAACTACCTCGCCACTGGCTGGCCCTCAACTGTACTATTTATTGGAAAAAAAAAAAAAACCCTAACAATACTAACAAGGATCAATCTTTTATGATTTATTTTCATTTCTTTTTTTTTAAAAAGTTTTTGCCACAGGGTACATGCATTTGCTGGAGACAGTGAGAGGGAAAATGAGAGCTCACCCTCCAGGGGGAAAGACCATGCTGTAATCCTTTCTTCTCCTGGCATTTTGGGCACACACATAAACCTAACCCATGTGATGTTCAAACCACCAGGTCCAGGACTGGATCTGTGGTAGGCCATGTGGGAGTTCAACACCTTAAACATCATGCCACCTGCTGGCCCCTTTTTCATAATTTCTTCTAAAATTATTTTTAGAAATTTTACATGTATTAATTTGAAGGACCCTTATTAGAATTCTCTGAAGTAGGAGAAATGTTAAAAGTTTTAGCATACAAATGAGAAAAAAAAATAACTTCAGAGAAAAATAATTGCTCCAGGTAAGTTGCTTGGCATTTAAATTTGTAATTTCATTTGATCACATTGATGCTCATGTGAAGTTATCCTTTTATCTCCACTTCACAGATGAGATTACTGAGTCTCAAAGAGATTAAGGAGCAGGCTCAAACTCTTACAATTCATAAATAAGAGAGCAGGATTTCACACATTGAACCTTTTGCCTGCACAAATATATTGAATTGTCAGAAAAGTCATGATGCATTTTTGCATAGAACTATACGACATAACTTTTCCAACAACCCAAGACATTCATCTTTCTTAGCTGGTCAAACGACTAGCCCAAGGTTTCACACCCGGTTCATGGCAGAGCTGCAATTAGAACTCAGTGACTCTGCCTTTTGCTACTACTTGTTGATACTTTGCTCTCTCTGTCTCGCTCTCATATAGTTTGTGCTAAGGCGTTGAAAATCTGTAGGAGTCATACGGCATGCTCTGCGTTTCTCTATTACCCAGAACATTTATTTCCTGGCCATTCCTGATCACAGAGAGTTTACTTTTAATTTTGTACAAATCAGCAAAGGCAAAAGAAATTGAAGGGGAATTAGTATTCAGTGTGTGGAGTGTCTGCCTCCTAGTATGTTGTGTCAGACATGCAGAACAACTTGGATAGGAAAAAAACTTGGACAAGAATTATTAATATGTTTAGTTTAGCCAAATTTAAAGAAAAATTACTTTATTTCTGGAAGAATGGAGCAGGGGTGGAGACGGGGGTTTTAAAAGGTCCCAGTTACTCTTGACATTTCTTCTAGCCTTCCACTTGTTTCCATCTCTATGCCATTATTCCTGTCTATGTCACCATCGTCTCTCTCCTGAACTATGCAACTGTCTCCTAACCTGTTATTGTCCCCTTCAATTCATTATTCACACCGAAACCAGAGAGCTCTTTTCAAAATACAAATATAATCATGTCTTTCTCTTACATAAATCCCTGCAAAGTCTCCCCATTGCTGGTCCAAATTCTTATACTGACTGACTTACAGGTTTTATATTCTTTGACCTCACCATTCTTTTAGACTTTTTTCATTCCCCTCTCTTCTGTTCATTTTATTCCTTCCACCTCCTGAATCTTACATATGCAAACTTTCTTTCTGCCCCTGTGCCTCTCCAAGCATTTCCCTTTTTCTACAATTTTCCTCCTTTTCCAACCTACCCTCTGCACCCTTGCCAGCCACAGGTATATCCATACACTCAGCCACATGGAAGAACTCCTCAGGCTCAATTTAAACATCCTTCCTCAGGGAAAAATCCCTGATCTTTATGGATAGGTTATGAAGTGTTTTTAGTTATGTAAATTTTCATGCTCCCCATTAAACTGTCAACTGTAAGGAAATGGGGTGGGGGAGTCTTCCCCAGCTAAGTTGCCTTTGTATCTGGCCTGTGGCTTAGTATTCAGCAACTGTTTGATGATGCTGTATTTTTTTCTTGGTGGAATGAATGAATGTTCGGAGTTGTGCAGTTTACCTTCACATTGTTTAATTCTGACACAATACAGAGATCATTCAACCTGCTTCCATCACATTTTACTCACTATAACTTCTTCTCTTCCAACATGCACATATTCAGTTTCTAGATCCCATTGATTTGAATTTTACTTTAGCTCTCCTAAGAGTTGCAATGCAAAAATAAAATAACTTATTATTACATACACTTACCTTCTGTCTTCTCAACCGACAATTTTGTTCTTTACCCAATTAATATTAACATATTGTGTCTGGCCTATGGAGGAAAAAATGTGCATGATTCGAAAGAGTCCTGTTAGTAAGTATCTGGACTATTGGGTTAATTTATAACTAGGTGGGAAAATAGGTCATGCCTACAGAAAAGTACTGCATTTTGAGATGGTACAAACATTAAAAAAAATCCTCTGAAAGACAAAATATTCCCTGATTGAATAGCTGTTTTTCCTTTAATTTTTTTCCTTTGCAAAAAAAAAAAAAATGTTTTTAAAACATTTTTACCTTCCTAACAGCCAAAAGGTTGTTAAGCGGCTCCACACATTTTTCCCTCTGGGGTGTTCATATCCACCAAAGTTAATGGATGGAAAATTAATGTTTCTCTCCAAATGTTTCCACAATCACAAAGCAAATAGTTGATTCTGCCAAGATGAGAGTGTAAATCTGCCCTCAGGAAAAAGCTTCCGTCACCATTATCCCCATAATTTAGCCTAAATCCAGAGGCCAGCCTAATTATTATAATTAAAGAAATGTGGATTTAGTTATCTGAAAGGGTGTAGAAAATATGTACTGACCACACCCTTTGATCAACTGTCCATCCCTCTATTGCTTTTATGCCAGATAGGCTTAGTTTCATTTGCGTACAACACAATTTGTTTTTTAAGTGGTGCTTTCCAAATATTGTGACTCAAGTCAACACAAGTTGAAATATTTTCTAGGCAAGTAAAATGGTTTAATTATGAATCACTTTCCAAGAACTAGATTGCAACTAAAGCCCATATGTCCACAGAATGGATGGACGGTTACCAATTTATGCATGAGGGTCCTGTTTATACTTCTGTTTTCAAGGATCATCATTTTTGGTGTTGATTACAAGGGAGAGCACATCACCACATCCCTTAAGTAAACTGCAAGATACAAAGATGTTAAAATTTTCAAATGGATTCTGATTTAATAAGCCTAGAGAAAAGCCATGATCACAGGAAGGGAAGAAATAGGCGTAATAGTTAGTTTAGGCATAATAAGGATTTCTGTTGGAGTATTTTGTGTCTTGTCTTTCTTTTTCTTGTTTCATAAATTAATATTATTTTAAATTACAAATTGTAATTGTTCACTTCTGTGGGGCACAATGTAATGTTTTGATATGTATACAATATAAAATGTTTAAATCAAGCCAATTAACATTTTTTTCTTTCTTTTGGAGAGGTTTTTGCTATAGGGCACATGCGCTCACCAGAAAGACAGAGAGAGACAGAGAGACAGAGAGATAGAAAGCGAGAAATCACCCCCTGGGGGGATGGCCACTCTGCAATCCCTTCTCCTCCATTCTCCTCTCAGGATCTTGGGCACACAAGCACACATGCCCGGCATGAATTTAAGCCACTGGGTCTGGCACTCGAACCATGGTTGACTACATGGGAGTCCAGCAACATAGCCATTACACCAACTGCTGGTCTCCTATTATTAATTTTTTAAGGAACTTCCATACCATTTTATATAATGGCTTTACTAACACACATTCCTATCAACAATGTGCAAGAGTTTCCATTTTTTTGCATCTTCACCAATCCCTATTATCTTTTGTATTTTAGTATAAAGCCCTTTCAACATGTCTATGTCCTGAAAGTGTGTCTTTTGAAAATTCATGTGTTGTGATTTGGTTGTGATGGAATTTACAGAGTGAAAACTTAATCTCACTATGGTGTTTGAAGGTGGGACCTTTGGGAAGAGGTTAAGATTAAGGTCATTGGGACAGAGGCCTCATGATTGATACCTGGTGAACATGTAAGGAGAGAGCGTAAGATAAGGGCACATGAACATAGACATTCTAGCTTTTGCCCTCAGTTATGTTATTCACCAGCAAGAAGATCCTTACTAGATTCTACCCTTGGGCTTTGAACTTCCAGACTGTGAGTTGAATAAATCACTATTGTAATATGTCACTCAGCTGCAGGTATTTTCTGTTATTAACAGGACAGCTTAGAACAAGGCGTGAGGTGACATCTCATTATGATTTTATTTTGCATTTCCTTAATGATTAGAGATGCTGAGAATTTTTTTTCAAATATCTTTTAATCATTTGAATGTCAATTTTAAGAAATGTCTGTTCAAGTCCTTTCACAATCTTTAAAAACTTTTTGAAAACTTGCATTTCTTCCACAAGATGGGAGGGAGACCTTCAATAGGGTTCTTACACTGCAATCTATCATCAGCTAACCGGGAACATGGAGAAGTGCTTGTGCACCAAGCATGTACAGGGAGACCTTGGTATGTGAAACTGTGACCTTTGTATGTACGCTCAGTATTGTAGAATGTGGCACCACTGCTGCTTCAACACAGCTCATTGTTTGCCTATTTTTAAAATTAGATAATTTGTTTTCTTGTTATTATTGTTTCAATTCCTTACATGTCTTTGATATTAAATCCGTTCTAAATGTATGAAGTGGGGGAAAATATTTTCTCCCATTCTGTAGGTTGTTTCTTCACTTTGTTACTTCTTTCCTTTACTCTGTGGAAACTTTTTAGTTTGATGTAATCTCATTTGTCTATTTTTACCTTTGTTGCCTGTGCTTTCAAGGTCATATCCCCAAATTCCTTACCTAAACCAGTGCTGTGGAAGTTTTACTCTATGGAGAGGAAAAATGTTCTAGTGGTTTTAGAGTTTCAGGCTTTATATTTAGATCTTCAATTCATTTAGAGTTGATTTGTGTATATGGTGTTTGATAAGAATCTAATTTCATTCTTCTTCATGAATAATCAGCTTTCTCAGGTCCATTTATTGAAAATACTATCTTTGGAACCAGCAGTTGGCATAATAGCTATGTCGCTGGACTCTCACTTGACTGCGGTTCAAGTCCTGGACCCAGTGGCTTAAACTCATGCCAGGTATGTGTGTGTGCATGCCCAAGATCCCAAGAGGAGAATGGAGGAGAAAGGATTGCAGTGTGGCTATCCCACTCGGGGAATGATTTCTCACTTTCTGTCTCTCTGTCTCTCTCTGTCTTTCTGGTGAGTGCATGGGCCCTATAGAAAAAAAAACTCTCAAAAGAAAAGAAAAGAAAATGCTGTCTGTTCCCACTGTACGTTCTTGACACCTTTGTCAAAAAAATCAGTTGACTACAAATGCATGTGTTTATTTCTGAGCATTTTATCCTGTTCTGTTCACTATATGTTTGTTTTTACTTCGTAACCATGCTGCTTTTATTACAATTGTTTTATGACATATTTTGGAAATTAAGGGCCCTAGTCTATCTGACTCCAACCAACTACCATCAAAGAACAACAAATAAGAAAGTAACTAATAAATAAAGCATTTATGAAACTTACGATGGACCAGACATTGTTCCAAGTGATTTATTTAATTTTTTCTTATTTAATCCTTATAACAACTGAAAGAAGTAGGCTTCTTTATTATTTGCATGTTACAATTAAAGAAATTGAAGCATAATGAGGTTACATGAGCTGACCAAGGACACACAGCTAATTAGTGGCAGATTCAAGATCCAAATCTTAGCAGGCTATCTTTTGAACCTATCTATTAACCATCACTCTGTATTGTTAGACAAGCTCCAGAAAAAAACCAAAATATTTAGTAGACCTTATTAGAGGATCTGCCTGCAATTCTAGCTTCACTATCAGCCCTTGGGGCAGACCTGGGAGACCTAGAAGTATAACAGCCTGGTACTCCTTTTCTGTGGTACACAGTAAGCCCAGAATATGGCCCGTTTCTCCTCTAATGAAGCCTCCATTGACTCTTCCCACTCCTGAGTTAAATACATCTCTTAAATAGAAGATACTTTCTGGATTAAAATAAGGCAACACAAAGAAAAAGGAAAAGCTTGTTTTCACTCCCAGAGTTCTTCAGGCTCTGTGCATTATTGAGCTGAAATTCTCTCAGTATAAGTATTTTAAATCTTCTCATATGTTCCTGGATTTTTCATGTTTTGAATCACTGTCCAATACACCCTACCCCTCAGTCTTCATTATCTGAAACCAAACAGGAAAGGAAAGAATACTGTCTTATCCTAAAAATAAGGTCTTTTTATTTTTTTTCCCCTTCTTTTCCTGGTCTTTCTTATTAATCTACAAACAATTCCCTGCACTTACTTGATGGTTACCTCTACCTTTCTCAGTGCCTTCTGCTATAACTGTTAAGCTTTCATCCTGGTGCCTATGGAACTTTGAAGTCATGGAGTCACTTAAAAATATAGACCAAACAGTATCCTAAGGGGTTTTATTTTTTTAAAAATTTTTTTAAGAGATTTTCACTGTAGGGCGCGTGCGCTCACCAGACAGAGAGACATAGAGACAGAAAGCGAGAAATCACCCCCCAGGGGGGATGGTCACGCCGCAATCCCTTCTCCTCCATTCTCCTCCATTCTCCTCTCGGGATCTTGGGCACACACGCACACGCGCCCGGCGTGAGTTTTAAGCCACCGGGTCCAGGACGCGAACCGTGGTCGACTACGTGGGAGTCCAGCGACATAGCCATTACGCTAACTGCTGGTTCCCAGGGGTTTTATTTTTATAGAATATATCCCATTCTACAGATACAGACCAAATCTAAGTCTGTGTTTGTCTCAGGAGAGATTCTTTTACCAATAGTTCATAAATCAATCTTACCCAGTTCAATCCTCTTCCCCATATATTATCAGCACATGACAAGGGAATATGTGTGAAGAAGGAAAATTCACTAGGATAGTTGGAATGATGAGTTTAATAACTTGGTACTTCATTGGTAGAGCTTTTGATTCTATTATATCAAGACACTTCAAAAATAAACACAATAAGACTGCTCATTCTAACAAAAGCAATTCATTTCTTACCTATATTTTATTCCCCCATAGGAAGAAGCAAATATGCTTGCCCTTGACCATATTTTTTATTGTTCAGTAGAGCTTATATCTAGGTCTTAGCTTAAGAAACATCTCTAACACATCAGTCTAATTCGATTAGCTATATATATATTTGTGTGTGTGTGTATTATCCAATAAGAGAAAGAATCATGATTT